CGGAGCTACGAATTGCCAGCTTCACGGCGAGGGAAGCTATTTTCATCAGCCTACCTCCCTTCTGCCTTGGTTTCCCCTTTCTGCACTTGGTCCATGCTAGGGGTAGGAAACAAACCCAAGCTGATGGAGTAACTCAGAATGCATTACCTTGGGAGTAAGTGTGAGAATGTGTTGGGCACTGGCATCTAGGGAAAAGAAAAAAGGAAAATATCAATAAAAACAGGAAACCCAAGTGAGAAGCCTTAACTAACTCTTAAAATACATTCTAGTCCTGGGACTAAATGGGTTGCCGCTGGCAGAGTATGGGCCAGAAAGCAGCAGAAATCCAAACTCAAGATAGCACCAAAGACGAAAATCAACCCATCAGCGTCTTGTCAGCACCGAAACAATCCTTTTCGTGGGGGTGTTTATTCAAGTGGTGCCTAGACAAGGCCTGCAGGCAGCTCTGAGAAGGATTACAAGGCTCCAGCCAGGACTGACTGGTCAGGGGCTTTGACTGAATCACGTGCCTCTTCCCACTCAGCTCGCAACCTGGGAACTTTCTACGTAGTTCTCTCACGTCTCCCAGGTATTTAGTTATCCTCAAACTGGCTCTGCACTTGAGTTCCCAGAAGCTCTCAGACCACTCCCTCCCAGCCCTCCAGCTCCCCCATTCTCTAAGGCAGCCCCAGGCTCTGGGAGCTGGTCCTGTCATTACAGGACGCTCGCCCAGCACATTCTCCTTCCTGAAGCCCTTCACCCACGCACTGTCCACGGTCTCTTTTCTGGAGACTTCTCTTCCTTCCCTTCCACAGCCGCTATTTCTAGGACAGTTCCTCCTGGCTTCAGTTTCTCCTACTCATTTTTTTTTTTTTTTATGACTCAGGGAACCTTGCCATAGCGGGTGTCGGCAAACACTCGACTGCATAGCCTCCTCCCCACCGCGCCAAAATTCAAATCTGGAATTAAAACACCCAAGGAGGGAAAAGGTAAAGGAAGGAAAAGGGTGGTTACTCCCATGGCTCTCAGGATCTCCGGACTTCCCGAGATCAACACAAATTATAAAGCAAGGCTGCCACCTAGTGGCCACCTGCTTCCTGCAGGGGACAGGCTGCCGGGCCCAGCTTACTTCTAGCTTTCTTTGCAGAACCTGCCTGGCAGTAAGCCTTCCTTGGACAAGAGAAGCAAAGGAAAGACATCCGAAATCAACGCTGGGGACATGGCTGCCTCTTCCCACTCTTGGTGCTATTTTAAGTTCTAAGACTAACTAACCCACTTGTAACCCTTAGCGGAGGTTCCTGCTTGGTCCTCTTTTGCCTTCTGAGGATGTCCACCTGTGTTGAGGTCCTCGGCTCCCTCCTCACTCTCCTTCCTAGCCTATTAAGAGATTCATGTCTGAAACCCTCAGGCTTGCTCACTCTTTGATTCCCCCTGGCCTACATTGGCAGGCTGTGTCCTTACATCCAGCGGACTCCTTGGCCCCTGAAATCAAGCCCAGGCTCAGCCACTTGTCCTCAAAAGGCCAATTAAGGAGTCAAGAGAGTCAAAAGCAGAGAGAGATGTATTCAATGTGGCTGCACTGGGAAGGGATCCCTCCATCCAGTGTCCAGGATCCTAATATAAGGTACAGGTGTAAATGGAGCTGTGGAGAGCCGGCTCATCAGTTAAGAGCATGCACAGCTCTCCAGAGGACCCCCAGTGGGCTGCTAACACTTTCTTTGTGTTCCAAGATTCCCTGCTCTCCTGGGCTATCACTTCTGCTCCTTTCTCACTCTGCTCACCCCTTACACATTCGGTTTGCTCCTGGGCTGCCCTCAGCCACCTGACCCTTCTTTCTCCCCTAAGCTTTATATACAGTCTCGCATACCAAGGCCCCAGCTATTTCTCCACTCACTCTCAGGCCGTGCCACGGTCTGCTTCCACTGTCATTTCTCATTCCCATGTTTACTGGTTTCCAAACTGCCTTTTCAGCTGCACCTGTGTTAGCTCCAACACCTAGTGTGGTGGTGGTGGTGGTGGTGTTCCCCAATGACCTCACCCTTTACAACTGCTTCCGTGGTGAATGGAGTGCAGACCCAGCCCCGCCCACCGGCTCCTCATCTTGCTCCCTCTCCCGGATTTAGCTGTTGAAAAAGTAACAAGCTCCTGAAAAAGTAACAATCTCTCCTCTCTCCTCACTTCACTACCTCGATTCCTCCCATATCATGAACTTTGCCCTAATTATTTCCCTGCTTGGAATCCACCTTCCTTCCGCCCCTTTCTTCTAGATAAGTGTCTTTCCTGTCAGTTCTGGGGTCTTTCTTTCTGACCTGATGGACTGCACTTCCTTCCAGCGGGCTGAGAGATGGCACAGTGCTTAAGAGTACTGGCTGCTCTTCCAGAGGTCTTGGGTTTGATTCCCAGAACCCACAAAGGCGGCTCCCAACCCTCTGTAACTTCAGTTGTAGGGGTCGATGCCCTCTTTTATCCTCTCCAGGCACAGAGGGGACGCACAGACAGACAGACAGACAGGCAGGCAAGACACCCATATACGCAAAACAGACAGCTTCAAACCTCAGTCCACGCCTCCCTTCCTGCACTGGCAGCGGAGCGTGCTCAGGGAATGACACTCACTCCATCTTCCCTTCCCACCCGGTGGGTCCAGACATGTTCTGGGTGACTCTGGTTCTAAGGGATATGGTGTTTGTTTTTCTTGAAGTATGCATGCCCACGTTTAGCACAAAAGGATGCACTTATCCCTCTTGCAGGACTCCTCAGAGGGCTTACACACCAACACAGATGCCAACGCAGCAAGTGGCTCCCCACATTTATCTGGCCATGGAGTTATCACCAGGCATTTTGAGAAGCTAATGTTTCAGAGTGAGGCATGCAGGCTTAGCAGCTTCCTGTACTCAGAGCACAGCTTACCATTTTACTACAGGACTGCAAAGCCAAAGTTAACCCACGGCCGTGCCCTTGCTTAGCTACGTGGCACTGAGCACATTATTTTCATGTTCTTCTTATGCTAGGGGATAATAATCAGTATGCTAGAGTTACCATGAAGAGTATTTACTGCTACCAATAGTTCATGGGCAGCGTATGCAACCTCATAAGCACCAGCTGTTTTCCCATTCATGTCTTCTCAGGCCTTTCTGGCCCCTAGTAAGGCAGGCTGACTCTACTTGTGGGCCCTGCACTCCAGCTCCCTCTCTGGTGTGGCTCTTCCCTCTGCCAGAATTCCTCTCCGGTCCCCATCCTTTCCCTGTCTCCGGTCAGCTCAGACTTCTGTCTCCCAAGCTGACTCTGGTGCGTGCACATGCATTTACACATGTGCTCAGCCTTTTCTGAAAGGGATCAGGTTAGCGAGGGTAACTACTTGTGGTCTTCCCCCTTTTACAACTCATCTGCAGGGGTAAGCATCAGGGGTCCAAACTCTCACTAGACCCCTAAGCAGCCTGTCTCAGAAAAGAGCAGTTTCTGCACACAGACCCTGTATACATGTGTTGCTCTGATATATTGTCTTAACCACAAGGCCAAGTTCTACACTGCCTGTCACACTGTGTGGGACCAGGCTGGCTTCTCTGGGGAATATTTCTTTAAGGCTGGCTATGCCACATCGTACCATCCTGTCCTACCATGGTTTCAGGCCCTGCACACAGCCCAGTGCACAGCCCGGTACCGCTTCCCTGCATTCTGCAAGTATTCAGGTTTCGCCTGCCTGGCGGCTGGGCTCACACAAGGGTTGCCAAGCACAGTGGCATGCTTCTGCAGCCTGTCTGTACTCACGCTGTGCCTTGCAGGAGCCTTAGCAGGTGCGTCACCCGAGCGCGCGCAGCTGTGGCCATGGCAGGTCTCCTTGTCCTCCGGCTGCTCCACCCCCACCGCCAGCCAATCCTGGTCAAGAGGAAAACATTCCCCAATTCGCTCTGCAGGGTCACCTGATCCAACTTTAACTCATTTTCCAGGAGTCAGAGAGAAGACAACGGCCCCAGTTGCCAGCTGACTCAAATGTAAGAACTCACCAGGGCCTGTGTACACTTTAAACCCAGAGCTGTGTCTCTCAAGTAAACAAAAAACAAGCAAACAAATCTCCAGCCAATCAAAATCCTCAAATCAAGTCTGAAAGTTATGGTCTCCGTGAACAGTTTTGGTCTTGATAAAGTTCTCACTACACCTTTAGCCTCGCGGGTACTTAGAACCATAAACTGGCAGCGCTCAGCAGTGCCCATCTGCCAGGCCCCCGTGGAGGGGTTCACTAAGGATGGCAAAGTCCAGTGAACTTAATTAGGACATTATCCAAACCCAGTAACGAGAGTACTTTCATTATTATGAAATGATTTGAGATTTCCTTGCAGTTTCTAAAAGTAATCTTATAAACACAAAACACTGAAGTACCCAACAGCCCAACTCCCAAGCCTGCTACCAACTGACAGGTGAGAGCGGGTGGCAGCCTGCTCGACAGAAAGCACCCCTCCCTCCGTCCTGGGTTTGCTAGTAATAAATTTCAGGAGATATTTATGCAAATATAAGTTTATTAAGATCAAAATAAGACATTGAGGGGGCTGGAGGGGCGGCTCAGAGGTTGCTCTTTCGAGGTCCTGGGTTCAGTTCCCAGCAACTACATGGTGGCTCACAACCATCTATAAAGAGATCTGGTGCCCTCTTCTGGCAGGTAGGCATACATGGAAAGACAGTACACTGCATACATATATATATATAAAAGGTTGATAATGAAAACCCACATAGGACAGCAATAAACAAGCCACTGGTTATAAACAGAACAAGTATTTTCTGGAGTGACAAGGTTAATTACCATTCTTGAGTGTGGTTCCAGTTTACCATTTAAAGCACTGTGCTCATCTAGCCAAATGCCCCACCTTAACAAACAACAGTTATACTCTTAATACTATAGTTAGAGGCAAAGAATGTTTGTGTTTTCTTGACACAAGTGGCCTTCCTGTAACCACTGTAACTACTTTGTGATTTTTCAAGCACACCCTCTAAGGACAACTTCTTCTGACAAAGTTAAAAGTGACACCAGGTAGCGACATACTTTTATTAAGTAACCTTTACAACACTTGCAGACCACCGGTAGACTCGGCTCCCCCACTCTCCTTGCTTTGGTAAATATACAAGCTTTGTTACAAAAATAATACAAAAATGTTGGAACCAATCTACTATGCCCCAGAAATCTGATCAACTCTTATCTAGTATCCAAAGTCAAGATAAAAAGCAGGTTGTTAACTTACTCCACATCATTTCACTAATTCTCCTGTTCTCATAACAGGCCCTTCATTTCCAGCCAGTGTCTCCGTTGTGGGAAAAGCATTCATTCCTAGTCCAGCACTGACTCCCCTGAGGGGAGGCAAACCCGCCCCTTCAATCTCAATGAGGGCAGGGGCACCGCCTGCACCGGCCTGCAGCGTGCACAACTTCACCCTTAGTGTAGACAGTCCTAGTTTGGCACAGCAGGTCCAGTGGGGAGCCTACTACTTCTTCCTCTTCCCACCTTGATGCGGCGCGCCTTTCTTCTTGCCACCGAAAGCAGGAGGCCTGGAAGGCTTCCGGCCTCCCAGGCCGCCTTTCCTCTTCTCTCCCGGGCCCGGCGGTCCGCCGTTTTTCTTGCCCGAGGGTCCCTGCCGGCCCCCCTTTCTCCTGCCCTTCTGGCCCATTTTCCTCCTCTTGGCAGCCTCTTCTTGGTCCTCTTCCCTCATCTGCTTGTTGGTGGCCCTCGTCACATCCAGCTGAGGCTTCTTGCTGTTCATGACCCGGAGGAGCTCCAACTGGCTCTTTCTCTCGGCTGCAAAGTCCCCAAAGAGGGGCTGAAACTTCCTCTTCTTGCCGGTGCCCCGGGGAGCCTTCTCCTTGGGGAGGCGCTCCTGGAAGCGCCCCACCGAAGCGGTGGAGACCTTGGCCACTTGCATGGCGCGGCCCAGCTCCTCCTTGCTCTGGTGTCCCGTCGGGTGCAGGCCGGCTGAGCTGGGCATCTGCATCTTGTGCGCTCGGGCCAGGTTCCGCAGTCGGTTCAGCTCGTTCTT